GATGGCTTCTATTATATGCCATATTTGGATACTAGTGAGTGTTAGAAGAGCTAGGGGAAAAACAGTTGTTTTATATAAGTGCCTTCTTGAAAGTCTGGGCTATCTTTTTCTGTCTTCCTTCACTGCCTCTTTTTGCCTTCTATACGCCTTTCTTTTCAACCCTACTAGAGGCTGTGTTCTACAAAAGTGGTGATCAGTGTCGTCTGTCTACCACTGGGTATCTTTAAGATGCCTTCAGAAGTCCTCAGGGCAAAAGTATCTATAATTATAGAAGCGTAATATGCAAATCAACCAAACGGCCAAACAGCAGAACAACCATCTGGATGCCCTTCCAGACGACCTTCTGGACAAAGCCAGGGCTGTGAGGGCCAAGGCAGCCAGGGCTGCAAGGGCACAGGCATCTGTGTCTGCGAAGGCCTACTCTTGCATGAATTTTGTGCATCAGGCCTCTAGTTTTATAATAATACTCAGATATTATTTGTAAAACTTCTTCCACCTTGGCACAATAAAGCAGTGACACCAAACCATGTCAGAAGTCATTGAATTCTTCATACACTTTCAGCTTTAAAAAAACATGCAAGTTTTACTTAAGAATGCCTTTGGTGAGGTGTTAGCAATCATTAAATTTATCAAATATCAATAATTGAGTACACCTCTTTTTAATATTGTGTGATGAAATGAGAAGTACACATATGGCACTTACCTGCATACCAAAAGATGATGGCTGTGTCAAGAGAGCACTTGTGTGATTTTTTTTTTTTTTAGTTTTGAGCTGAACTAGCTTCTTTTAAAAATGAAACATTTTTACTTGAAAGAATGATGAACAAACTATGATTCCTTAAAATTGGGCATCTGCTAGTGATTTATCAAAAATGAAATGGAGTAAGCCTGTATATCATGGGAAACAACTGACAAAATTTTTTTAGTTTGGAAGCAATAAATTAGAATTGTAGAAAATTTTAATTTACTATCATAAGCTTGGTATCTTCTTAATACAATATATTTTTTCTGATGAGATTACTGTTCTCAACATTTGGAAGATCTGCAAAACTCACATGATATTTTCAAATTAGGCATGAGTACGAATCCATTTAAAGTGTAATGTAGATCAGTGAGTTATTACATGACAGAATATGGACAATTCCTAGTATTTGATATGGCTTCAGATTCCCCATTGCACTAATCTTTAAGAAACTGCCACTTGTCAAATTATTGTTTCAAGGAAAAATAACCAAAACTATATGAACAGGCTATTAAAATATTCCCTTTTCCAAATACATATCTGTGTGAGGTCTGAGTTTTCTTGATATACTTCAAGCAAAACAACTTAATTGCAACAGATTGAATGTAGAAGCAGATATGATAATCCAACTTGTCTTCTGCTAAGCCTGATATTAGAGTCTTGTGAAAATATAAATCAGTGTCACTTTTTCAGTTTTTTGAAAAATATAGCTATCTTTTATAAAATATTTATATTCACATGTAACAGATTTATTATCCTTAATGAATCAATAAGTAATTTTTTCTGTTTTAATTTTCAATACGATATATATCAATAGATATAACTCACAAAAACAAAATCTCTTTGAAGTCTTCAATAATTTTTAACACTGTTAAGGATTCCAGAGAACAAAAAAATTGAGAACTGCTTTCCTGGAAGAATTTGTTAAAGATAGTTCCACTTGTGGTGGAATCATACTCACAAAATGACTTGACTCCTTTGTTTTCATCCTTTTTGTCACTTAATATTGATTAGAAAAAAAGGGAACTGTTTGGTTATCTTCATTTATTTGCCCTTGTCAGTAAAATTGAATGAAATCTTTGAGTCTGGTTATTAGAGTTAATGCCATTTGCTTAGCTTTGAAGGTGTGTGTGTGTGTGTGTGTGTGTGTGTGTGTGTGTGTGTGTGTGTGTTTTAATCTACTGCTTAAAAAATTGATAAAGACTGCCCCTTTAATCAGCTATACTAATAATATAAAATCCCATTTGTTTCCCAACAACTGCAAACTTGGAGAAAAAAGAAACAGATGAGAAAATATGCATCTGGGGTCTGAGCTTCTTGAATTTGATCAATAAGTGTTATATGACATTGAGAACACCATGATAATGTAGTTCGTGTGTGCCTTCTGTATAACACAGGTTGAATGATATTATTTTGCAATTAAACAGTGAGACTTAGCACTGTTCATTTATAAGAAATTATTTTTATTGCTTCTATTTTATAAAAATCAGTGAGGGCAGACTATATGTATGCTAAAGTTAACACTATTTGCCAAATGATTACCATTTTTATCAGTGAAAATTATGGACTTTTAAGAATATCCTTTTCAAGATCAAATCCAGCAAAAATAACTCCTTGTAATGAAGTCACCATAATCTTCTGTGGAAAGATAAACACTTTCTCAGGGATCTATGTTGTTTGGGGGAAATCATGTTGGAGTTCAGGCTAGATTTTAGACAAGGAAGTAAGAGATGGTAACAGTTTTAATTTGTTAGCTCTTTGAATACAAAATTTATGGTGATAATGCAAACATTTTTTAAAAATATATTTTATTGACTTTTTACAGAGAGGAAGGGAGAGAGATAGAGAGCTAGAAACATCGATGAGAGAGAAACATCGATCAGCTGCCTACCGCACATCTCCTACTGGGGATGTGCCCGCAACCCAGGTACATGCCCTTGACCGGAATCGAACCTGGGACCTTTCAGTCCACAGGCCGACGCTCTATCCACTGAGCCAAACCGGTTTCGGCGCAAACATTTTTTTTTTTTAATTTGGTTAAACTCCTAAGCTCATTTTAGTGCAAAGATAGTTTTATGTTTCAAAAAACCAACCCTCTGTTAGCTTGTGGATTCTCTTGAATAGTCTCCTCCAATGTGGTATGAACTCTTCGTTACTGGTTCACTATGTGACATGTTAAAAATCTGAGAGTTAAGCATTTAGAAACTTTCACAGCAATTTAACAGAGTAATTTTATGTGCGGAATCTATTAGTTTAAAAAGGGATTATATTTTGTATGACATTTAAGTTTTCTATATATTTCATAAAAGTACGATCCACAGTGGGTTGGAGGAAAGGGAAAAAATACTGATTTATCTACACAGAAAGTATGAGAAGCATCACCCTGCATGACTATGAAAATGCTAAACCTTAAATGGTCCTTGAGTTTAGGCCTGAAATAAAAGCCTTACTTTCAGTATAGAAGAAAGCAGAAATTCCGTGAAGTGAAAAACCTCCCCTCAACCCTGATTTGGCTGATATATAATCCTATATAATAAAGTGGTAATATGCAAATTAACCCTCACACCCTCACAAGATGGCTGCTTAGGAGGCAGAGCTTTTGATGCTGACTGGCATAGAAACCGACCAATCAGAACCTAATCTGGGTGAACTGTGAAGTCAGTACCTAAGGTGGGGTTGAGGAGGGGTTTTAAGGGCAACAGCTGTTTGATGTTTCTTTTTTAGAACAGATAATATAACAACTCAAACCACAAATCTACATACAACAATGTATGTTACTAAATAATATCTATACTAATAAAAGGGTGATATGCTAATTAGACTGGCTCAATGGGCCATCTTCCAGACATCTGACTTCCTTCTAAACAAACCCATGGTGGTCGGGGTTGAGGCAGAGGCAGTTTTCTCTTGGAAACTTTAGTTGGTTACTACGCTCTCTTCTTTTTGCCTCT